TGTACAAAACTAATAATTAATTACACCTCATTTATATATTAAAGATCGCATCAAATCCTCGTAATTTATATAAATTACAACTATATTGAAATGATTAATTAGTATACATAGAGAGAAAATATAAATATGAAATATCTGTACCACATAAAATACGATTAATAGGTTGATGATTCAGTAACTACCTTAATAAATACATCAAATAAATAAAATTATATAAATAAACGTTGAAAATTTATAAAAATCAAATAGAAAGTAAATTATAATGAATAAAATTAAAATCTCTACGAAACTAACAAAAGAAACAAAAAAGCGAAATGGGAAGAACGTGTTGTTTCTTATATGTATCGAGGTAAGATTGCACGAATAAAACAAAGAGACATTTATCTGGAAATACTTATAGAGAGAGATGTGAGATAAGAGTCAACGCCTTTCTATATATGAACATTTGCAATTCTAAGTTTATAAAAACATTTATACAGAGAGAGAGAGAGAGAGAAAGAGCACCCGGTATATCTGTGGCATTCATTTGCAATTAGCTTTTGCTTCGTGGTTTCAGGGTTGGTGAGGACAAAATAAGACGATATATACAGAAGGGAAAAAAAAGAAGAAGTATTATATAGTATCGTAGTATATACCATACGGTCGGTTAGCCGCCTTGAGGATTATATACATATAGTGGGGGCGATTAATCGCCAAGGGAACCAGTTTGTCAGAAATAAAATCTTCTCAAACGATCGTTTGACTGTTCGCTTGCTATCAACGAGCTCCTATCTTTATCTACAACAAATCTACTTGACTCTGTTTCAAAGCGTGACCGGGACATGGCCCCTCCCACATCACCATCACCATCATCCCTTATCAGATTGCACGCGCAAAAAAAAAAAAAAAAAAAGAAAAAGACAAGAAACGTCATTCACATCTCTTCTGCCTCCTTTCACTATTTAAACGATTTTGACGTGCACCTTTTCTCCTTGCATATATACGGGACACACCCCTACCTCTCTCTCTCTCTCTCTCTCTCTCTCTCTCTCTCTCTCTCTCTCTCTCTTTTGCACTCACTAATGGCTATTTTTGCCATTCTCCACACACATTGAAAAACAACATCAAAGGAAGCTGCCATTAGGCGTGTCTAAAGTCTACTTTGATTCAGATATACAATTATTAGAGTGTAACTAATTTCTTTCTATATAATATAATTTTGGAAACAATCATTCCTTTTTTTAGTATATAGTAGGAGGGCACTAATAATGGGATCATTAAAAAAAAAAAAAAAAAAAGATTCAGATCGAACCATTTATAATAAAAGTTAGAGGGAAATTCTTATTTTAAGAAAAAGAAATAAATCATTGAGAGGGATTCATTTAAACTAGGTGGTCCAATATTGAAAATTGACTTTGCAAATGAAATAAACGAGGGAACTGTACAAAACTTGATATTTTGTTACAAATAAAAAAAATTAAATAATAATATATTAAAAAAAATATCGTAGATGATTTTCAAAATATAATAATTAATAATAATAAAAATTGTTATTACAATAATAATATTATTATTATTATTATTATTATTATTATTATTATTATTAATAATTATACACGGAGAAAAAAATTTATCTTATTCAAATAATCGGTTACTTTGACTATTAAATAAATATTTACTTTGAACTAAATAATTTTTATTTGAATTAAATTAATTTGTATTTAGACCAATAATTTCTGTATTTGAAACAAAATACTATATTTAATTAGCTCAAATAAAAATTATTTGGTTCTAGTAAATATTTATTTAAAAAAAAAATAACTGCATATTTGAGTCAAATTTTTTTTTGTCAGTGTATTTATTATAATTTATTTATTTATATATATTAATAATAATAATAAAAAATTTAAAACCAAACTGAATTAAAAATTTATAAAATCATTAAAATCATTTAAAAAAAAGTTACCGAATATGTGAGTCAAATTTTTTTTTGTCAGTGTATTTATTATAATTTTTTTTTTATATGTATATTAATAATAATAATAAAAAATTTTAAACCAAACTGAATTAAAAAAATTTATAAAATTATTAAAATTTTTAATTTATGCGCATAAATAAAATATGTTTTTTTATTTCTTAAAGGAAAAATCCCCTCGCAGGTAAAATATACGTGTAATACACGTTGAAGATGAAAAGACCACAAGATATGATAAGAAAGTAATATAGATTTGTGAGAAAGGAAAATACTAAACGGAAATGATAGTAATGCAGAACCGTATATGTTGAGGAAAAAAAAACGAATATTTGTGATATTAAAAGCCTCTTTAGGAAAGAAGCACTCACTTCCGTCTGTTTGTAGAGAGCTTTCCGATGAATTATTTGAAAGTAGATCTTCTACCTGGGCGCGCTCTCTGTTCACAGAAAAAGGAAATGCTCATTTCTTATTAACAAAGAAACATAAGTGAACATTGATTTCTAAAAACATCCAAACAAATCGGTGATTTGTCCCAAAAAAAAAGAAAATAAATCCAACATCATAATCGCTAAAACAAACTAGAAAGTTAACAAAAGAAAAGAAAGAAATTTTATATTTTTAGTCTAATTAATATTATAACATTTATTGTATCAATTAGTAATTTTATTATTAAATTTATATAATATTATTATTAAAATAATATATTATTATTAAAGTAATATAATAATATTAAAATAATAGTAATAATATTAAAATAATATTAATAATAAATAAAATAATAATAAAAATATTATTTACATAAATACTAATTATTACAAGTAAACATTGAAAAAAAATTTATTTGCTTCAAATACTCGTTTACTTGACTATTACCAAATAAATATTTATTTCTAACAAATAATTATTATTTGAAATCGTATTCGTTCAAAAATTATTGATTCAAATACAATTTATTTAATTCAAATAAAAATTACTTGTTTCAAGTAAATATTTAATAATAATAGTCCAGTAATCAAATAAATTTTTTTTCAGTGTACCACATTTGTCATAAATTAACTAATTCAATTTTCGACGCGAAACAAATTTCCCAAAAACACACCTACAAAATAAATTGTTTTCTGAACGTGTGAAACTGCAACAATTTCAAAATATTTATTTTAAGAAAATTTTAACAATGGAATTAAAAAAAAATTGAAAAGCAAAACTGCGCGATATGCTTTATATAAAAACATATATAAATGGCCGAAAAGAAATATTGTTTACCGAGCCAACAAGAATTTTCAAATATATACATAATAGCAAAATAGAATAATATAAGACGTGTCGAAAAGAGATCTAAAGACGATTTTAGTGGGATATATAAGCAAAAACATAATTTTATTGCCCCCCCACAAAATCAAAGGGTTTTTAAAGTTCTTGATAAAATAAACACTTCTCAAATGCGCCAACACATTGAAATTTTCAATAATTAAATCACTGTTTCAAACATAAATATCAACTGAAATAATCCAAATTTCAAAACATTATACAATTCCAAATCTTCTTTGCTCATAAAAAGTCAGAAAAAAAAATTCATTATCATAATTTATTTAATTTTTAATGAAGAAATAAATCTTCTTTTTTAAAAGCCAACTTATAAATTAACTATAGAGGAGAATATTTAAAATTTGCGACCTAATGGTTTTTTAATAGACATATAAATTAATTATAATTCATGAAACATTTAGAAACGCAATCAAATTTCCTCTATTTTTTTTTTTTTCGTGATTTTATATTTAAATTATTATCCGTTTTTTAGATAAAAAAAATAATTTATCAAATGAATTCTCTTCTTGATCAAAAATTATTTTAAAATATAATTAACGGCACAAAAAATTGATATAATTACTCTGAACTATATTAGTAACATTTTTGTAACAAGTGACTAGTTACTGGAATGTTACTAGGTAGGCAGGTAACATGTTTCCATGAGAGAGAGAGAAAGATGAACAGCAGACAGACACACCATCGTTTTAAACCGGTTTTTCAGTTTCAGAGGGTCTCAAAACGTGAAGATGTGATGAAAACGGGGGCACGGGGGTCGAATTTTTATATATATATATACAAGAAGAAAATAATCCTCTCGCGTGTAATGAGAATGTAAAATTATAGAACCCCTGTGGCTCGACATGATGATGATGATGATAATTTTTCGATATCTACATCACTATTTAGAATCCTCTCGACAGAAGGAACTTTTGTATAAATAAAAAAAAAAACCACACACACACATATCTATTCAACGGGATTCTTCAATTAGTACCTACACGTTTTCTTTAAATGAATTTTTTTTTTTCCTCTTTTTTTTTTTTGCCTCACTCATATGAATCAAATTGTCCGCATTTCGAAGAATATTTTCTTTTCCAGTGAACATGAAAAAAAGAAAAGAAATTGTATATATATAAGAACATTTTCGCGTCAAGAACGATATTCCGTTTGGTACCTTATCTCTTATCTGCTTTGAGAAAATTACTTTTTGGAGCACAAGACCCTCTTTACTATAACACTGACCCACCCCAATTTACAACCGTCTGGGTTTGCACCGGGGGCTATTTAGATAGAAATCCCATTTGAAAATAAAAAAAAAATACAACACATTTCCCACTATAATACAAAAGCGGTCAGAGAAAGCTGGGTCAGAATCGGGGATGGTGATCGAAGAAAGCCCGAAAAATTTTCAAGAAACCGATCAAAAAAAAAGGAAAGAAATAAACCGTATGGTCATAAACAGTTATTTAGCATCTCGTACCAACGAAATATAAAAATTTGTAGTTCAAATTCAAATATTACACAAGGAACGAGATTATTTTCAAATACCAAAAAGGAATAAAGAAAAAAAAAAAAAAAAAACTTAATTATTATAATTATAATCGAATTTCAAATTAAAAGGAACTGATAATATCTCCCTTGCATCTGATACGATAAATTTACAAGAGCAATAATGACGAAAAATGAAGCTTTAATAATATTATTATAGAATATTAATTAGCATTTATAAAAGACTTACCACCAGTTCGCCGAGACGCCTTTCCGGCCGACAAGAAGCAGGAGGACGAGAGTTGTAATTATCGCCTGACGCATCTTCCGACTTGAAACAATCGGCTTCCTTTTCTTCTCTCCCCTCTCCTATTTAACTCTTTTTCGATTCTCTTTGGAGCGCCGTTAGCAAGGAAATCACTCCGAAAGAGAAAAAGTCACACTCCTAACCTCGCATTATCGAAATTCGGTCTTCTCGAGGCATCATCCTCATTTATGTGATTGAAGGTCGATCCAATTTCCGGTCCTGAATCTAAAAAAAAGAAGGAATATTTTTTTACTTCCATCAAAGCGTTATATTGTCCATCCCCCCTTTTTCTTTCCTTGTCTATCGTTCATCATTCTTTCAATTTAGAGATTTTAATCCCGATAATGACACAAATTACTCTCACGATTACAATCGGTATATTAATTTCGTTTTTTCACAACTGCGTAATACGTTCAAATTCGAATTAATATTATTTTAAATTCATTTTTCCAAAGGAAATTAATATTATTAAAATAAAAATAAAAAAACGATTTAAAAATATTAGCGATAAATTAAATTTAAATTAAATCCCATTTAATAAAAATTCAATAAACGATTCACAATTTCACAGGTAATTTAATGAAGCTTTAAAATTTTTAAATAAAATGAATAATTTGAAAAATATTAAAAAAATTTTTTTTAAACAAATTATAAAAATAAAAATCAAATAATATATTTTTAAAATTAAATTTGAAAAAGAGAAATGTTAACTGTAATAATAATGAAATATAGTGCAATTAATCAAAATGTCGAAATAACGCAAATATTACATATATATATCCAACATATATATAATTGTTATTTATTGCATTAAACTTTCTCGATATAAATAAATATCATTATTCTTTTGCATATATGAAAATATAATTTATGTACTCTAATTTAAATAGTGTGTGTTTCATCAGAAAAGAATCAAATCGAAGCGCAATTAAAGAGTAAAAATAGTGACATATTTACGAGCGGCAATAAACTCTTGTTTGGAGCAGAACTCATTAAAAATTGAAGAATCTCTGCGCTCATAAATATAGTAAATTTTTAGAATCAAATTATGAATCAATTAAATATACTTGACTTCAGTAAAAATGTTATACTATAAATTGATTCCTTCAAAACAGTAGTGTTTTTTAAATCCCGTTTCTTTTTTTTGATAAAGAAAAAAAAAAGAACTGATTTTTTCCTATGACTTTCAAAAATAATAATTTTTATATTACAACTGTCATTCACAAAATTGATTAATTTAATTTTTTTTAGTTTGTCCATTGAATAAAAAATTCTAATAATTGAAATATTTTTGTAATTACTTTTCAATTTCATAATTAACTTTTGTGACATCAATAATAATTTGATTCAATTAATCCTTCATTTATAATTCTAATTGCAAAACGTAATCGACAAATGTTTTAATGGAAATAATAAATTTCATCGCGACAAAGACGATCAGGAAAAATATAAAAGGAAATAAAAAGGGGGCAAGTAATTTAAAAGACATAAAAGCTGTTATTTGTAATTAGCGAATCACTGATAAAAAAAAGTGGTATAATTAAAGAAAGAGGTATGATTATTGGCGAGATCAATGTGCGCGAGGAAAAACGGAGCCTTTACTTTACAATCAGAGAAAGTTCTATATATTATAGAACATACATTAATGATTAAAACAAACTTTTGCGCATATGCATTCAATTATATTATTTAATTAGAATAATTTATTAATAAACGAATATTAAAAAAAAAAAAAAAAACTTTTATTAACAACACATTAAACCAATATTATTATATATACTATCAATATTTTCACATATAATTAATGCAAATGTAATGCATATTTATTCAGGATATTGTTCAAAGGCGCATAAATTATTATATTTGAATATAAATTATTTACTCGTGAAAGAAAAATTCATTTTCTCATAATAAATCCATTTAGGGGGAAAAAAAAATCTATTTGGAGAATCAATTTTCCTAATATATAAATTTAAAAACTAGTTTTAATAATAAAAATACATTTAACTGAAACTGAAAAAAATAAATCGATTTGAAAATCAATTTTCTAAAAAATCTTATATACAAAAAAAATCTAAAAAGTGAAATTTACGGACGTAAAAAAATCTTTGACGCGGATGTTTTATTATTCCACTTTTGAATTCAACACGTTTCGAAAGAAGAAGAAAAAAAAAGAGTATCAATTAGACACACACAATAATTTCTTATACGGGATCCATCTCTAATTAAATAAAAGATTTTGGTGCTAATTTGCCTTTAAGTCAGAAGCTAATTAATTATGTCTATACAGTGAGGCATCAATTTCTATTTAAAAAAAAAAAACCTGAATCGACACACACATATACACGTTTGCGTTTTGATCCTCGGAGAACATAAATTCTCAGAATAGGATCGACAAAAGGGTTCCACACAAATACACATATGGTTAAACATTTGCCTTTTTGAAATCAATGGGAATGATTTGAATTACATTAAAAATTCAACTTTAAGTGAAATTTCTTGTAATGCAAAACAGCAGACATGCCATTACAGAAAGATCGCCAATATAAAAACAAGGCTTCGGGTAAAAGAAGACTAAGAAGAAGAAGAAGAAGAAGAAGAACAACAACAACGAAGAAAGACAGTAATCCTTTTTCTAACAAAATATATATATCTGTATGTGTATACCTTAAAAAAAAACTGTGGCTCCGAAGAAAGAGAAGTCCCTTTTTTTCTCCTCTTTTGTTCCAAAGATCGCAAGGACGAGGTTTCGATCTCTCCCGACTTCAAAATATATATAAAAGAGTCAAAGGGAGAGAGAAAGAGCTATTAACAACTTCTCGACTGTTGGAATCCGGACAAAACACGAAGAGAAGTCACCGGTTGTATCACGTCAACTTTGAGATGAACGAACCCGCACACTTTTTTAAAAAAAATCTTCGTTTTTGCAATTTATCATACGAAACTTTGTTTATTTCAAAATTAAACTTTTTTTAACTAGTTTTGTTTTTTTCCTTTTTTGCCGAAAAAAGAAAAAAAAACAAAACGGTAAACACGTTTCTGATTTCAAGGGAGAGAGAGAGAGAGAAAGATAGAGAGAGATAAAAAAAATGAGAGCGTTCAACTTCCGCACACAGGAGACGTTCGCCGATCGGCGCTCACGTTCAAACTGTGGTCGGTTGTCACGAGGAAAAGGGCAACGGTGCTTTGTGAGGCGGGGCTTTCAAGTAAAACGAGCCTTCTCATTGGTTCTCATAAGGGTAGGTCTGGAAGGCTAATTAGACATTTCGGCACCCCCTGCGCATCGCCGATATATACAAACGCGATATTCACTACGATATATATATATATATACATACTCCCTCGCATGCCTAATAACACTTTAATATACATGTGATGAGGACCCTTCCCCTCTAATTTGCCTATGGGGAACGAAAAAATCTAAAAAAAAACTTCCTAAAAAATCAAAAAAGACTTTCCAAAAATATCCAAAAGAAAATCCAAAATATCCTAATGAAATTATCAAGACTTTTGAAAAACCAAATGATTTCTGAGACAGTCCAAATTTCCAAAGTATCGAAATTCAATGGCAAAATTTCCATTAAGCCAAATTTCATAAGATGAAATTTTTTCTCCAACTTTACTCCAACTAGAAACAGAATTTCTATTTAGAATGTTTAGAATTTTTATTTATTTACATTATTCTTTATTTAACCGAATTTCCACTTTAATTAACTTTTATTTAACAAAATATTTATTTTATATCGAATTTTTATATATTCAATTTTCTACTTAATGGATTTTAAATTTTCATTTAGCTAAATTTTATTTTATCGAATCGAACAAAGAATATCTGAATTTGGCAAAATTCTAAAAAATTATACCAAATCATCTCCCCTATCTGAATTTAACTGAAATTTCATTTAGCCGAATTTTCGCAGTTGGCAGTATATTTTCAATTCATCAAATTCTCATTTTAAAAAACTTCATTTGTCCGAATAAACGACACAGTTTGTTTTTCCAATCGATTAATATTCAAAAAAAAAATTTATCGGCTAAATGAAATTTCGGCTAAAAAGATAATTCGTCGATTCTGTGAAATAAAAATTTGCTTAAATGAAATTTCGGCCAAAAATTGATAATTTGGCGATTCGGTGAAATAAAAATTTGGCTAAATGAAATTTCGGCCAAAAATTAATAATTTGGCGATTCTGTGAAATAAAAATTTGGCTAAATGAAATTTCGAATAATTAACGATTTAATTTTAAATTCTGACATATTTGAAAATTTGGTTAAATATTTAGAGATTCTCTTAAATGTATAAAAATTCTTTTGAATATAATTTTTTTAATATAATAGTTTTTTTTAATATTATTTAAAGATTTATTTAAATATTAAAATTTATATATAATCTTACCCAAAAACAGCAATGTCCGAGATTCTTCATTATTTCGATAAAGAATTTCCTCAATTTTCTAGTGCATATAAGTTTTCCTCAAAATTATGATGTTTTCCACAATATTTCCAAATTCCTCCTGGTGTCAGGATATTTTAAATTTTCCATAGAATGTGTCACTGAAAAATGTCGCCATTTCTGAAAATTTAACAAAAAAAAAACATTAATTTTATTGCATTACAATTAACTACATTTAATTTATTACATTAATAATTAAAATAATTTAAAATCAAATATTTTTTGAAAAATTATTAAAATTTAAATAATTAATAAATAATTATTCAGGAAAAATTCCATAAATACAATTTTTTTTCAATTTAAAAATGTAATTATACAAAAAAACGTTCGTCAATATTTTTTCCCTTGTAAAATGTTTAAATTTAGATTTTGCAAAATTATCCAATATTTTCCATGTGATTGAAACTAAAAATTAAATTTTATTGACGTCTAACGTTATATTCTCGAACAACATCTTTTAATTTATTCTCATTGTGTTGAGCAGATTTAACAAAGAGTTATCGGTCATTTTATTATATGTAATACCAAAAGTAGACTTTATCTTCTTCATATTGTATATCGGATCTGTATTGCATTAAATTGAAAAAATAGAAATATTTTTCTTTTTTTACTGAAGATTATAATTTAAAAAAAAAATTTTAATTCACACAAAACAATAATTAACTGAAATCTTTCATTTTCTTTTAAGGCCAAGTGTTTATTTTAGTTTTTAATCGATTTTGTATATATAATATAGAAATACATAAAATATTTTATAAGACGAAACTTGCCGCTAAATAAATTATATAGTGTGATTTTTTTAAAAAGATACGTGAAGAATATAAAATAGAAAAATCTATACACCTTTCAAGCATTTATAAATTATTTAAAAAATTCTACTAATATATTTCCTTTCATTTTAAAATAAAAATTTTACAAAAAGAATTAATAGTTTTTTTTTAAATTGTATTTAATAAGTAGCGTTATAAATATGATTTAAAAAAGGGATAAATATATATAGTAATGGTAAAATAAATAATAATTTTTTTAGATTATTTTTTATAAAATCCGCTAAATATAATAAAATCGGTAATAAAAAACCTTTTCACCGAAGAATATTTCCGAACTTTTTAAAATTCTTCAAACGCTTACAGATAATAAGGTCAGAAACAAAAAAAAAAAAAAAAAAAGTTTACTCTCGTAACACTAAGGATTCAATATTAAGGATAACAGTAACCCAAAAGAGGAAAAATATCCGGTAATATTTTGTATACCATAAGGAAAAGCACACATAATATACAACCTGAGCTTATTTACTTTATTTCGATATTTTTTTGTCGTTTATTTTGAGGTTTAAAACTGAAAAGAAAGGGACAAAACCAATATATAGAGAAATAAACGCGAAGACGACACACTTGTGCGTATTATGCACATTTGTACTTCGTACCCTTTAGTTTTTCACCAAGTTTACAGATAAAGTCGTATGATGACTCTTTTGCCTTCATCTTATGCCTCTCAACTGTTTACAAGGTAAATATATGCCCTACAGCTAAAGTCTTCACATACTTGACATTCCTAAAATATAATGTGTACAAGATGCGCTTCTCTTTCTCATTGCAAAAAAACGAAAATTTTCAAGGAAAATCCTTTTTTTTTCGAATAAATTCATATTATATTGCATTTTGCAATTTACGCAGTATTTTATTTATAAGCGAAACATTTCTTTTTATATGGGATTTCTTTTATCTGAACAAATAAATTTTTAGGTGTGGTCTCTCATTCAAAGATTAGTCATCTAACCGCGATATATAGAGCGCGCCGTTTATTAAACGAAAGGGGGAAAAACTCATTAAATAAACGAACCATCCTAATCTACTGATATTTTTTGGATAATAATTTTTTTGTAGATAAAATGTCTATTATTTTTAAATTTAAACTTCATAATTTAACTGTTTCATTATTCTTTTTATTATAAACTCGAGGAATTTTTTTGTTTTGCAAATATTTTACAATTTAATTATTTTTAAAATCATTTATTTTTTAAATTCCGATATTTTTTTGAAGTTAATTTTTTTTTAAAATATAATTATTTCGTAAATTTAATTATTTTACAATAAATTAATGCGAAAATAATTGAATTCCAAAATAATTGAAGTTCAAAATAATTAAATTTAAAAATAATCGCAATTTTATAATAAAAACATTTTTTAAAATAATTAAATTTGTTATAATGAATTAATAGATTGTAAATTTTTTGAATTACTTCGATAAAATTAATATAATAGGAATTAAAATAAAAAAAATCTCATTTAAGAAATAAATAAATAATAAATAAAATAAAAGATTTTTTAAATGATTCACATTTAAAATTAATTTAAAAAAAAATCTTTTATTTTAACAGAAAATAAATGAAATTTGGAAAGAAAATAAAACAATTGTCACGTTCTCTAAATCTTTATTTTTCCTTTTTTTTTATAATCTCAACAGGGATAGTTTTCTCTGACCAGTTATAATTTAGGGCCAGCCTAACACAATTTCATCAAATCTAAAACGACACATGGGAAAATCTAACAGTAATTTATTATCTAATACGCATCTACAATTTTTATTTTCTCTTAAATGTCGACTAGTAACAATATCAATGAATTTCATGAAATATCGCGTTTGGTACAATTTTCATTTTTCTTTTTTTTTATTGTAAATACTGCGTGTTTAAATATCATCGTTTTCATTTTTTTTTGTGCTATTTTAAGAAATTAATCAATAATAATTGTGCACAGAGAAGGGCGTATAAAGATGATTGGTGATGGAAAAAAAAAAAATTAAGCCCAAACACGAAGAGTCGTGTCCCAACTACCAGTAGACAATGCGGTTCCATCTGGTGAAACGCGAAGACAAGAAACTCGATTCTCATGTCCGTATAGTAGAGCAACACGTTGACATTTCAATGTATCCCAAACATTTACGGTATAATCGTTATAACCTGCAAATAAAAGACGACCGCTAACACTGAGATCAACAGCATTTGCACCAAAAATAATGCTCTCTTTTGCATAAACTGCAACTTCTTTGTCTGCACGAAGATCAAAGAGACGACAGGTTGCATCGTCAGAACCTGTTGCCACTGCATCTCCACTTGGATGAAAACGCACCTAAAATTAATAAGTAAATTAATAATTAATTTTAATAATTAAAATAAGAATGAGAATTAAAAAAATAATTTATAAAATACTAAAAAAATAAATAATTAATTACCGAATTAACATCCGACTGATGACCCTCAAAACTTTGTACGCACTGTCCACTTCGCATATCCCAAATGAAGACCATTTTGTCACAGCTTCCGGAAACAAAAGTATTGCCCGTTTCGCTGGGCGATAAATCGATGGACATTACGCTGTCCGAATGTCCGTGAAAATTTTGCAAAAGTTGTCCACTCTCCACGTCCCAAAGGGCACAAGTACTGTCACCACTTCCGGTCAATACTTGCTGATCGCTGTTTGGAAATGCACAACAAGACATGTACGACGTATGAGTGCCGACAGTCTTTTTTTTCGCCGATACATCGTCCTCAAGACTCAAGGGATAAACCGTTACTTTGTTGTCCAGACCCCTAAAATACATTTTTTTGTAAAAATAGAAATTTTTATTCTTTTAAAAAATACTCACCCGCAAGCTACTAGCATTCCACTCGGAGCATAAGCGCAAGCTATAACCCAAGTTGTCTGCATTGTAACTGCATGCTCTTTATTAGTTGTAAAAGCATCCCAGATGATCATTTTCCCATCCTGAAATAAATTAAAAAAGAATAAAATGAATTTGTATATAAAACGAATTATAAAAAATAATTGCGAAAATAATTAACACACCTTTTTATACCTTTATACAAAAAAGAAAATAATTTACAAAAAACACTTACTTTATAAAACATCCACATGTTCTTCTATATTATATACAATGGCAAAACATCACATGCTTCAAATAAAAACAACACTGCTAAATAAAGTTAAAGAAAAATTTAGCGGAGAATGCAAAAAAAAAGTGCATCGCTTTTTACGTATTTTACATTACTAATAGACAAATAAAATAGATACTTGTTTTCTTTTATCTATTTGTCCCCTAATTTTTTTAATTTAAACTTCTGCAAAAATTTTAAATTCTAATTATAAATTTTCAAGATTTTACTGTGCATTTAAAACGTAATGTACGTAAAAATCTTGAAACAATCGCATTCCTCAATAGTGAAAAAAAATTAAACATTAAAGGTGCTTTTCTAAAAAAAAAATTCAAGCAGAATTTTCAAAGTTAAAAGATACTTTCTTAAAAATTGAAAAAAGCAATTCAAGCGAAAAAAACAAATTGAATAGGCATTTTTCTAAAAAGCCAAACAAAGAAGCAATTCAGGCAGGAATTTTAGAAAAAATTCTTTTCAGAAAAAAAAAAAGAAATAAAACTATAAAATTGTAATCATTTTTGGATTACTAATAAATTCATATATTAATACCTGAGATGAAGAAACAATGTGTCGCTTATCTGGAGACCAATCAGAGCAAAGTACCTTCGCCTGATGTCCTTTTAATACTCTCCTAGGTTTTACATTAATACAATTTATAGCCTCAAGTCTGTCAGCAACAGTTGCGACTAAAATAATGAATGACTTTCTCATCAAAAAAATTCTCGAGATGTTTCTTTGATAAAAATACGATTATAAAAAAACTCGTATAAATTTCGCCATTAAACTATTCATAAGAAATTTTTCTATTTTGATTCAAATATTTTTTTTTGTCATTTAATTATAAATTTTAGAAAATATTTATAAATAATTATTAAACATTTTCAATGTAAATGTTATTTTAAATTAATTATTACTGTTTTCTCACAAACAATAAGTTTTCTATTTTTTTTTTTTAAATTTAATTTATAAAAAAAATCTACTCACGTGTAACATCATTCAATTTTTGTCTCTCATCCTCGAGGCGGATTTTTAATGTCTCCGACTCCTTCACGAGCTTCTCAATATGCTCCAATTCCGTTGCTGAATCCATACTTTTCATTGATAAAAATTGATTTTCTCCAAATTTCTGTATCAATTAAATTTAGATCATCTCCGTCGAATATTGATTCATTTCTCACTATTTCTAGGAATTATCTACGTCTTCATTGTTTATTCAACATTCTCTGAAAAAAAAGAAATGATATTGATTAAAATATACAACATTTATTAATTGAAAAATTGTATTAGTTACTAATAATTGTGATTATTATGATCTTACAATTATTATTTTTAATTGACCGTTATTTTTATAAATAATTCAAATTTAATAAATATAATTGATAAATTACAATTATAATTTATCAATTATCATAATTTAATTTATCATTAACCATTATAATTTATTAGGTAACGTGATAATTATATCACTTATCGTGAGAGCTTTCAAGTATAACCGTTGTAATTCAATTAACATTTTGCGATCGTTAAAAATTTTTGGGTTAGGTTTTCATAGTCAATAATTAGAACACACCTTGGCAAATTTTTAGATTTTCAACCTTTGATAATTTAAGGTCAAACAATGATCTTTTTGATAATCGATAAATGACTGTAAAAAGCTCCATCATCGAATTGATGTAGTTGAGCTTGATCTAAGGATATTAGTCATTCTGTAAGACTTTTGATTCCTTCAATGTACACAAAATACACAATGAACATTTAACTGATTTTCATGTTTTGATTATTTATTATCTAAAATGATTACTGTTTAACACTGTAATTAATACTAATCACTTATCACACACGTTGGAATGTATTTAACGACATTCTAAAATAATAAATTTCTCAACGTCCTTTCAACACAAGTCTGCCATTTTATTTAATGTCCAGGGGTGGATTACTTTTTTAGGGCAGGGGGTGGTTGTTGGTGATTGGTTAATTTTTTCAAATTCAAAATTTAAATATAAATTACAATAAAAGAAAAATTGTAGAAAGAAATAATTATTTAAATATTTCATACAATTTTATCTGAATATTTAAATACTGAATATTAAACGATTATATTTTCAGAATAAAAATTAATAACAATTTTTAGGTTATGTTATTAAATTTTTATAAATTGACAGGCTTTTAGTAAAAATTATTATTAAATTTACTATTTGTTAAAAAAATACATAAATTACTATTATCAATTAAGTGTTTATTAATTCTCACTATTTAAATTTCCCTCGCCTTGTGATTTGATTCAAAACATAACCTCAAACCGGAAATAACGTCACAATTTTCTCATGTAATTTGACTAATTAGTGACAAAATAAGATAAGAAAATATTCTAAATAGATGAAAAATATAAATAAATTATGAAACTTACACAATTATAATAAATAAAATTACACAAAAAGGTAAATTTCTTTCTTAAAAACAGAGTAGTAACTTTGGGTTCGAGTGTAAAAAATGGATCGATGGATGCCAATTTCCTGTGCTTAAAGCAGCGTGGACGACAGAGTGGGGTTGGACGAGACTTGTTCTTCTGCTCGTTCGTTGTCTTGACCGTTCTTCATCTTTGACATCGTAGTCCGGTCGACGGGCAAAAAAATACGAAAAAAATGGCCCTATTGTCCCTTCGTCTGGCTGCCTCTGTGGCAAGACAACTGCCAAACGCCACTGTGCAGGTAAATTGAACAAAATATTTCTCTCAAACCATATCATGAACGACAATTTTATTGTGTGCCTGAGTGTGCGCCGACATTTTCCGTGAGTGCCACCGGTCAAATTTTTAATTTCCACATCACTGACTATTTTATTTTATCTTTTTTACGTTCTTCTTCGAAAATATTGGAAAAGTCCTTTTTTCTTGTGTAAAATCATTTTTTAATTACATTAGATTTGAAAATATCGCCCTAGATATTTGTATTACATAAATCGGAGTACGTTATGTAATGATAGTATTTTGGTGTGTGTATTAGAAAACAAATTTATTTAAATATCAATGTGAACTTGTTATTACAGATTAAATATCCAGCTAGTGGAATTGCATCGCGTAAATATCATGTTTCATGCAGCAGAAGATCTGCCGAAATTTCTTCCATTCTGGAGGAACGTATCCTTGGTGCAGCACCAAAAGTGAGTTTAAAATTAGGTTAATGAGTTTTTATAAATGAAATTAAATTTTTGGAATAATTATTATTTTTATGATAGGCAAATTTGGAAGAAACTGGACGTGTCTTGAGCATTGGTGATGGTATTGCTCGTGTTTATGGTTTGAAGAATATTCAGGCCGACGAAATGGTGGAATTTAGTTCTGGATTAAAGGGAATGGCCTTGAATTTGGAGCCTGATAATGTTGGTGTTGTAGTATTTGGTAACGACAGGCATATTAAGGAAGGTGATATTGTCAAACGTACCGGAGCTATTGTCGATGTTCCCGTGGGTGAACAACTTTTGGGACGTGTCGTCGATGCTTTGGGTAATCCAATTGATGGCAAGGGTCCTCTTAATAATAAACTTCGATTCCGTATTGGAACCAAGGCCCCTGGTATCATTCCTAGGTAAATTGTTAAATTTTTTTTAAAAATTGTAATCTTTCGAAGAGTGATAAATTTATTTGTTTTTCTCCAGAGTATCTGTCAGGGAACCCATGCAAACTGGTATTAAGGCCGTCGATTCTTTGGTACCAATTGGTCGTGGTCAACGTGAGTTGATCATTGGTGATAGGCAAACTGGAAAAACTGCTCTTGCCATTGATACCATCATCAATCAAAAGCGTTTCAATGACGCTGGCGAAGAGAAGAAAAAATTGTATTGTATTTACGTTGCCGTTGGACAGAAAAGATCAACTGTTGCACAAATTGTGAAACGATTGACCGACAGTGGAGCTATTAATTATACTATTATTGTATCGGCTACAGCTTCCGATGCTGCTCCTCTACAATATTTGGCACCATACTCCGGTTGTGCCATGGGAGAATTCTTCAGGTATTTATTTTTATTTATTTTTTTTTTTTTGAGATGAATTTTCAATTTTTGTTTCTTTACAGAGATAATGGCAAACACGCCTTGATTATCTACGATGATTTGTCAAAACAAGCTGTGGCTTATCGTCAAATGTCACTGTTGTTGAGGCGACCACCAGGTCGTGAGGCCTATCCAGGAGATGTTTTCTATCTTCATTCACGTCTTCTTGAGAGAGCGGCTAAAATGAATGAATCACTTGGTGGTGGTTCATTGACTGCTTTGCCAGTCATTGAAACTCAAGCTGGTGATGTGTCTGCCTACATTCCCACCAATGTCATTTCCATCACTGACGGACAAATCTTCTTGGAAACCGAATTGTTCTACAAGGGTATTCGACCAGCCATTAACGTCGGTTTGTCTGTATCTCGTGTCGGATCAGCTGCTCAAACCAAGGCCATGAAACAGGTTTGTTTCTCAAAATATTTTGGAAATTATAATTTTTAATATTCGTTTTTTAAATTTTGCCGAATTTCTCCTATAGGTCGCCGGTTCCATGAAATTGGAGTTGGCCCAGTATCGTGAGGTCGCCGCTTTCGCACAGTTTGGTTCCGATTTGGATGCTGCAACCCAACAACTTCTAAACCGTGGTGTTCGACTTACAGAACTCTTAAAACAGGGACAATATGGTAAATTTGTCTTTTTTTTTGAAAATTTTACCAAAAATCCCACAATTTTCGAATTTAAAAATATTTTTTTTTTCTTTCCAGTGCCAATGGCCATTGAAGAGCAAGTCGCTGTTATTTACTGTGGTGTCCGTGGTTACCTTGATAAAATGGATCCCAGCAAAATTACTGCCTTCGAAAAAGAATTCCTCGCCCACATTAGGTAATTTTCTTTCTTTTTTTTTTCTAATAATTCTAATCTATTGAATAAAAATTTATTAATATTTCAATATTTTTTATAGGTCGACGCAAAAAGATCTCTTGGCAACCATCGCGAAAGAAAATACAATCACTGAAGCGTCAGACGCAAAAATGAAGAAGATTGTCACAGACTTCTTGGCGGGATTCAACGCATAAAAAAAATCATTCGCTTTTAAGGCCAAGGCGTCTTTAGACAAGTAATCGACATCCGCGTTGTTCACGTATATAAGTGATGTACCAAATCTCGAATGATGTTCATTCGGGAAAACGCGTCATGTTTATACATAAAAAAAAGTGTCATTTTAAAGAATTCCATATACGAACGATAAAAAAAAAAAACACAAACACAATAGTCCAACATATTATTGATACGTTACTCGTTGGTTCTTTAATAAAAAAGAAATTAAAATATCCAACTATTTCGTCATTGATAAATTGTCTTTTTTGTTTTCTAATATAAAAAAGACAATTGTTTTGTTATATTATATTTTATTACTTCTATTTTTTTTCCATTTAATTTCTTTGTCGTTAAAATGAATCATGTGTAAATTGTATAAAAAAAAAAAACGTTCATCTTGTCATTCACGATTGAAAAAAACAATGCACGAATAAAATTATTCGAGGATAAGAAAATAAATATAAAATAGATAACAATATTCTTTTTTCAATTTAAAAAAAAATTAGATTTAATTTTTACGCCTTACTATAGGTTTTTAATTGATTGTTACTTACTTTTACTTTGGACTTTCTTTTTTGTCTCAAGGGGAACATCACATACTCCGGGAATTATGGTTTTATTTATTTTCTTTTTATCAACTGCAAGGGATTCCATTACTTTTGTGATTCGTCCAGTGGCTATTGTTATATTGTGTTCTCTCACGGTGAAATTTTGACCAACCAATACTGGCATTTTATCCAGAAATGTTAATCTCGTTGTTGCTTGTTCGCCTGGCATTAACATTTTTGAACCTTCGGGAAGAATAAGATCGAATCTCCCATAAATGGACCACGTTGAGCAATAAATTTGTGTACTAAAACCGTGCACCTGAGAAAATTTTCCAATTATAGATGACAAATTTTGATTATAATTTTAATTTACTCACCGGAATGGGTTTTGATCTTCCACCTTCTTCTGCTGACATCAAATAAATTTGACCTTCATAATGATTGCTAATGTTTTGAGTGTTAAGTAGACACAGGAGCATTCCTTTTCGAATGGATGTGTACTTTACATTTCTTAGTAAAACGCCTACATTTTCTCCAGCTTTTGCCTCGGGAATACTTTTTTGAAAAATCTGTAATTAAAAAGAATATTGTAAAAATAAAGTCACTGTTGTCAATTATTAATTAATTAAAAAGTTAATCTTGCCTGAATGTCAGAGATTGATGTTTTGAATTTTTCATCAAAGCCGAGGAGATGACAATGCATGTTCTTTTGCATTATGCCTTGTTTTATTGTTCCAACAATGACTGTTCCTCGACCCGGAACATTGAAGACATTGTCGACAGGTAAGATAAACGGCGATTTATAATCTCTACTTGGATTTGGAAGATATGAATCTAAGGAGTTTAGAAGATTCATTACTGATGGGATTCCATATTTGGATGTATCGCCATTTAATGCTAAAAGAGCTGAACCACGAATAAATGGAATTTCTTCACCATTGTAATTATAATTTGATAATAATTCTCGAACTTCAATTTCCACGAGATCAAGCATTTCTTCATCTGCCACATCAGCCTGGAAAAAAAAATTAATAATTATTAAATTCATGATCCTAGATAATGGAAAAAAAAAATTACAATACCTTATTTATATAAACAATAATGTTCTTGATTCCAATTTGTTTTGCCAGGAGAAGATGTTCTTTAGTTTGAGGCATTGGTCCATCATCGGCAGCAACAATAAGAATAGCACCATCCATTTGTGATGCTCCACTAATCATGTTCTTAATAAAATCAGCATGTCCTGGACAATCTGTATGAGCATATCGTCTTTTTTCCGTCGAATAGCCAACATGTGCAATATTTATTGTAATTCCTCTTGCTTTTTCTTCCGGTGCCTTATCAATTTCATCATATGAAACATATTTACAACTTTTATTAAATTCAGATAAATACTTGGTAATAGCGGCAGTTAAAGTTGTTTTTCCATGATCAACATGTCCTATTGTTCCTACATTGCATACAAGATTTTCTGATTCAGAAACAGTTGAAAATAATCTAATTCTTCTTTTTTGAAAATGAATTTTATGGAGATAATTGCACTTCACATTGTTTGTTTTTAAAAGAGTTCGAAATAAAATCTTTGACATTAACATTATTTATACAAATAACTTGAACTTTTCTCAAATTTGACACTAAAAAACTATTTTTAATTAACTTTCAACATTTTGTATAAAAGGCATACAAATATTTTGTTTTGAAATATCACAAACATAACCTTATTTGATCATGTGCGGTTCTAACCTTACCTTACAAGAAATGTATTTCGAAAGTTATTATTAACCGTAAACTTTAAATAAATAACCCTAAATCTCCGTGTCTTATAAATAATAAATATAAACATTTTTTTAAAATTAAAAACAATTTGTTTAGAAAAAACGTCAACGATTCATAGAAAATTCAAAAAACGAGTGTAACGTACCTTACGTACAAATAAGCGTAAATTTGTTACGATACTTACGTCACATTACGCAATAAAAAATAGAAAGAATTTTAACGGAATATAGTGTTAAATAAAAAGGTATTTAGTAGAAAAAATTTAATTTACCAATAAAAATTAATCATCCGGAATAAAACACTCATTTCCGGTCACTTTGGCATTAAATTTTAACGAAAAATCAAAAAACAAAATTCGGATAAACCGGAAATGGTAAAAACAACAAAAGCAGAATTGCCAACTGTAGTGTTATCTTTTATTATACTTATATTTTGTAATGGAATCGTTATGGATAATGTAACTAAAAAAATATATACATTAAAATAAACATTCGTCTAAATTTAAATAAATTGAATGACAATTTATATAAGAATTTATTCTCTATTATTAAACAAAACTTTCCAAAACCGGAAATTGATTTATATTGGCAATACCCATCTTGTCCAATCACGTGACAAGAAGACGTTTAGCCTCAATGCGCAAACGCAACTGCGCAGCATTTAAACTTTCGCAGTACGTCAGCGCCATATTGTCATTACTTCTTACACAACGCCCTCAAGCGAACAATTCAGAGTTACGAGGTAAAACGGAAATAATTTCCGTTTATCAAATATTGAACGTGTTCTAAATTGGAAATAATTTTGAATAGTAGTGAAATAAAGCATATTACAGTGTTTTTGGCGACATTGAAGCAGTCTACAAGCCGTACGGTGTGAAAAAAGTTGGTGAGTACTAGACATTGTAAAGCTGGTGCGACTGCATCCTTTTAGCTGCGCCCTCCATATTGATGACAGCGCCGACAGTGATAATTTTCTGAAATTTTTGTCGTTAATGCCCCCTGTGTCCTGAAGTCGAAAGCACCCACGTTGTCTTAAAAGCTTCCCGACAGAATGCGCGGCTTCTAGGACAACACACTGCCTATGAATTAATCCTGGGACCGAATATCCTAGTTGCCATCTTCGCGAACACCTCTCGACCTCGGCATGATTCCGCCTAGAACAGGTCAACATTTTATCGAACCATGGCGTCTTTCCACCGCTTCACTTTTCCCCTCGATTTATTTTTGATTAATTTTTAACGTTTGTTTGTGTATAGCCAAGGTTTATTATAATTTTACGTGACCACGATGATCATCCTCTGGACGAGGTTCTCCCCCTCTTTTTCCCTTTGTAATTAGTGCTGATTTCAATGTCCTAAAAACACTTCCGGGTTATATTCATATATCATTTTCTTGAGCTATTGATTTTCTTTCGACTCTACTTTGGCCTCTGTTTCTTGTATAAAGTACAATAAAGGTAATTGGCTTGCAAACTTTATAGCAGGGATGTTTAAAATAAAAAAAAAATATTTAGGAAAAATTAATTATATGATTAATATTAATTTTGCAATGTATTGCAATTATTTCCGATTTTTTTTTGTTGGTGAATATTTTTAAATTGTTGAAAAACAATTGAAAACGGGACAATTGTGTCCTTGTTTTTCTTTTTATTACATTGTTTTATAGTTGAATTTACTCGATTATTACATAATTCGTTTTTTTAAATTATTGTCGTTCAAATTGAAAAAAAAGATATGTAAGCAATAATATTAATATTGTTACTCCCGTATCTTTTTATGGTTTGAGAATATAAATTAGTTTGTAAAATTTAATTTTCAGGTTCTCTGTTAAAAATTATTATTAATAATAATATAGTTTGTATTTGAATAGCTTTTTTTATTTAAAATACTTTTTTTTGGGTAAATTTGTGATTTTTTTAATTTCAGTTGCAACTTTTCTCATTCTAAAGTTTCATGATTGAGTCACGCAAAGATGACAACTAACGTGACTACTATAAAATTAGAGGGTAATCAGGAAACCGTAACGGAAATACAAACTTACCTGGAAACCTTCAACAAGGAAATAGAAGGAGGACAGGGTGAACAATTTCAACATGTTCAGCGTAAGTTTCTTTATAATTATTTTCCGATATTTAAAAAATTAAAAACAATATTTTTATGGTAAATTTTATTTATTTGCAGTACAACAAGTTGAAGGTCTTTCTGGTGGCGAAGAAGGTGGAACATATTTTGTCGATCAATCAGGACAATATTATTATCAAGCAAGCGGTGATGACACACCTGTAATGACCCAAGTTCAAATACAAGAAGTTGATGACACAGAAGGACAAACTGAAGGCGACACTGCAGCTGATGAACAATATCAAGAACTTGAAGAATTAGAGCAAGTCGATGGGGAAAATGTAATTTTTAATTTAATATTACATTACATTTATCTTTATTTTTTGTAATTTTTAAATTCAAATTTCTGATTTCTAAATTATATTTTCAGGAACAAGCTGTTAATGCAACGAATAATCAAGTTGTATTGAATTCCAATGATGCATATCAAACAGTAACAATTGTTCCATCGGACACTAATCCTGGTGAAGTGAGTTATGTTCTTATAGTGCAACAACCTGAGAATGAAGAGAAACCAAAACGTGACAATGAAGCAGGTGAAGAGGAAGGTGATGGTGAACAGGATCTCACTGTTTATGATTTTGAAGATAATGAGGACAATGATCCCACCGTTGAATCAGAAACCGAGGATGATAAAACTAAAATTATTAAATACATTCCCAGAAAGTCACAAACTGTTACTCAAGCGCATATGTGTAATTATTGCAACTACACAAGTCCTAAGAGGTAATTTTTCTATTTCTAGTATTAAGAATAATTCTATAGATAATTTTGTAAAAAATTTTAAATTTATTTTTTCTTATTTGATTTTATTAATAAGCAATTATGGCAAAAAAATTTAAAATTTTCGAGTGAAAATTGTTTGAAAATCTATATTTATGGGAATTTTCAGATATCTTTTATCTCGACATATGAAATCTCATTCAGAGGAAAGGCCACATAAATGTAGTGTGTGCGAAAGAGGTTTCAAGACTTTGGCATCACTTCAAAATCATGTTAATACACATACCGGGACCAAACCGCATCATTGCAAATTTTGCGACAGTGCATTTACTACATCGGGTATGTGGATTTTCAAATTGTTTATATTTTTTTAGTTTTCATCTCTATTTAAAAATTGTTTTTGTCATTTATGCATGAATTTAATTTTTTTTAATGAATCAAAAGACAAAAAATATTTTTATATTTCAAAGAATATTAATTGTATTCGTTTTAATTGCATTCGGCATTTTTAATTTTGTGTTTTGCATGAATTGTGTCTACCGACATGTTTTGCTTGAAATAGTATTTGTAAAATTATTTTTGAGTTATTTGAATGTGAATGCTTTTTTTTTAAATAGATGTTAATAAACAATAATTAAAACAATTTTATATTCATGCACTTGTGACTTTTGTTTGTGTGACAATTGTTTTATATTTTAATATAAATTCAATTGAATGCTAATATATTCTGGTGTGTAATGGTTTACATTTTCTAAAAGAAAAAAATTGATTACAGGTGAACTTGTAAGACATGTTCGGTACAGACACACTCATGAAAAGCCGCACAAATGTCACGAGTGTGATTACGCTTCTGTTGAACTGTCGAAACTCAAGCGACACATTCGTTGTCATACTGGAGAACGACCTTATCAGGTATGTTTAAAAATATTTTATTTTCATATTTAGGTGAATTGGTACGACACACGCGATACAAACACACGAATGAAAAACCTCACAAATGCACTATTTGTGATTATGCCAGTGTGGAAAAAAATAAATTACGCAATCACATGCGTATTCATACAGGCGAACGTCCTTATGAGGTTTTGTTTATCCTTTGACAAAATAACTATAAATTTTCGAAAAATTTATTTATTGTTATAATAAGTTTTTAATTAATTTTTTTTTGTCTTCGCAGTGTCCACATTGTACTTACGCGAGTCCTGATACTTTCAAATTGAAGCGACATTTACGAATTCACACTGGTGAGAAACCGTACGAGTGCGATATTTGTCAAGCAAGATTCACACAATCTAATAGTTTAAAGGCTCACAAATTGGTTCATAATGGTATGTATTTAAAAAAAAACCGTTTTTTGGTCTTCTAATTATAAATTTTAATTTAATTTTTTTTTGTAAAGTTGGAGACAAGCCGGTTTTTCAATGTGAACTTTGTCCGACAACGTGTGGACGTAAAACGGATCTTCGTATTCACGTGCAAAAATTACACACTTCAGACAAACCATTAAAATGTAAACGCTGTGGAAAAACATTCCCTGACAGGTAAGAATAATAGAAGCAATGTTTATGAAAATTTTACCTTTAAAAGAATTCCTTTTTATTTATATGAAATCGATTTAATTTTTCAGATTATAATTTATAATTTTCTATTTGTGCATTACAGGTATAGTTACAAGCTTCATAGCAAAACTCATGAAGGCGAGAAGTGCTATAAATGTGATCTTTGTCCTTATGCATCAATATCAGCGCGTCATTTGGAGAGCCATATGCTTATTCATACAGATCAAAAGCCATATCAATGCGATCATTGTTATCAGTCATTCAGGCAAAAGCAATTATTGAAACGACATTGCAATTTATATCATAATCCATCTTATATTCCACCGCCACCGCAGGAAAAAACGCATCAGTGCCCAGAATGCGAGAGACCATTCAGGTAATTAAATAAAATCAATTAAAAAAATTTATCGTTAATTAAGCATTATGATATAAATTTATAATTAAAAATATTGAATTAAAGAAAAAGAATACAGAATTTAATTTTAATTAATTGAAAGTTTTGAATTATTTTATTCATTTATTTTTAATTTACAGACATAAAGGTAATCTTATTCGCCATATGGCTGTGCATGATCCAGAGTCATCATTGCAAGAGAAACAACAAGCTTTGAAAATGGGAAGGCAAAAGAAAATTCAAATTATTGATGGTCAACGAGTTGAAGTCATGACAGGTGAGTTTTTCTTTTAAAAAAAAAAAAACTTTAAAATAACTGAAAATTAAATGATTAATTTAATTAATTAATTAGGTGATTTAGCTTCTAAATTAAGCTATGATGACGATGAAGAAGAAGAGGAAGAAGAAGAGGAGGAGGAGGAGGAAGAAGAGATGGGTGATGATGAAATGATGGCCGTTGAAGGAACTGACGGTCAACAATACGTTGTTCTGGAAGTTATTCAACTTGCTGATAATCAAGGATCCGATCAGGTAATTTTTTGAAAAATTTTTTTGATTTCCAAAATTTTTAAATAAAAAAAATTAATTTTTAATTTTTTTTATTTAGCAAATGGCTGTTGTGGCTAATGAGGATGGAGATATAGTAATGGAGGATCCTTTGGGTCAAGAAAATACCATTGTCGCCGATGTCTCTGGCGAACTTGAAGAAGATGATGAAGAAGAAGAGGGAGACACTTCGTTAGAGAATTTAAAATTACGAACTCAAATCACGAGAAACAAATCTGAGTCACAGTCTTCGCAACATGATCCTAAATTGCGTAAAGACATGGAAAATTGTTTTGGTTTTGATGAGGTATGTTAAATATTATTTTTGACATTTAAAAAAAAAAATAAATATCTTTTGTCAATTATTCAATTATTTTTTTTTTTGTATTATAGGAGGAAGAAGAAGACGAGGATGAAGACAGCAGTGAGATGCGGTTGTTAGGGACCATATCGTAATGTCCGTCATAGTGAGTAAAGGATGTGTACTCAAAAAAATAGTTAAGTATATTTCTCATCCAGTATAAGTGTATAAAATATTATAAATGGTGAAATTGAGAGACTGTGGAAATTGTATACATAGGTACTATTAAACTAATTTATGGGTGTAATATGTTAGTTAATAGTTTTAAGAGAGAAAAAAAAATGTAAATCCATCAAAAAGATAACACCGGGAAATCTAGAAACTAGGAAATTTAATTCTGCACTTAAAATTAAAAACACTTTTTCAAATGTTTAATTAGTATTAAATACTATCAATAGTGTAGAAAATCGACATATGTATAATCAATTTTTCGAAATTTATTATTTAATAGATATTAAATGATAATTTATCAATTAATATTTGTAAATTAATGATTTTCGATAAAGAAAATTTGATTATACGTGTTTCATTTAATCATAGAAAAAATCTACATAAAAAAAAATAAATAGTTTTTTGAGTGTTGCTTAGATTTGAGAATGAACAGAGAAAAAGAGCCTAATGTATTACCTCTACAGTCTGAGTGTAAATAGCAGCTTCTCCATATTTGTTCAGGTAGCCGAAAAAACTAAAAAGTTTCTAATTAACCGATGTACATCATTCACGATAAATTATGTCCTTGTCCACATTGAATGAATTATAATCTTTCAATTAGTGGCAAAAAAAATACCTGTATCGTATTGTGAGCAAAAAAAAAAAAAAGGATTTCAGGGGAAAATTGTACTAGTTTAATAATCATATTTAATAAGAGAGACTTTTTTTTCTTTTATGATTTTAGATAAGCGACGTGTGTTTATGAATGAATGAATCGAGGAAATCTACTTCCGCAATTAATTGTTTGCAACTGGCACATTTCATTTTTATTTTGTCCAAAATGTGAGTAACGTTTCCTATTGTTTTAATATATCATATTTAAGTTTTTACATATTTTGGAAACTGATAAATATTGAAATGAAATGTGAATTAACTTCATTTAATCAATGATTTTTTTTTCTAAGTAACGAACCATTTAATTTTATGGTTTATTAATTGAAAACGAGAAAAGGAAACGAAATTGAAATTATATTTTTGCAATTAAGGCAAAAGAATTTACTTTTTTTTTTTTTGTTTAATTTCTTTTCGTTGTTCTTGACACTATGCAAATGGGAAACATTTCCTTTTCTCAAGACTATTGTAATCACATTGTGAATAAAAATTACGATTTATTATAATCAATATGAAAAAATGGCACAAGATAAAATATTGCAATCATTTGTTTTCTTTTTTTAATTATTGTTTTTTTCAATAGAAATTTACGACTTTTTCACAGTTGTATTTTCTTGATCATTGTTTTTTTGATAATTAATCGAGTACCATTTTTTCTTTAAGTGTTTTTTTTAAGTATGCACTTATGAGTATAAAATTACACAAAGCTTTATGAAAAAAAAAAAACTTTGGGTAAGACGGCGCTTATACGAAAGTGTACAAAAATAATGTACAATTTTTTACATGCCAATTGTAAAATTGTAATTTATAATGTAGGGATTGAAAAAAAAAAAAATTAGTCAATAGTCCTTCGCATGCTGTTAAAATTTATGCACTTTCTTACATTATTCCAAAGATGAAGAAAAAAAGTAAACAGTGTAACGTTTTCTCTGTAATAAACACTACTTCATTAAATGATATCTTTGACTTGAATTTATGATAAAGATTTTTTTTTTGAGAAAATCTTGTTCACTGAGTAAATTAATAATTCAGTGATTCGAAGACTCGAGGAGAATTGAAATTTATTAAATATGCAAAGAGAGAGATGAGAGTGAGGATCCTTTCATATCCTTAATTTCACTTATTTTCCTTCTCTTCACTTTATTTCCTGAGAAAAATTTTCTACTTTATAAAATAAGGAATAATTTTTTTTTAAAATAATTTTTCTTTACCTTTCGGAATAAAAATAGTATAATTATGAAATTTTTTTAAAAATATTTTATTGAAATTAATTTTGTTTTTATTTTAGATTTATAATTTATTTCGAAATTTGTGTTTTTTATTTTGAATGTGATTGTTTTTTTTAGAGTGGATTGAAGAATGAAGTGTGAGTGATGCTGGATTGACGTTATCATTGATAAATTAGTTTTTCAGTGTTTGCAATTTGTAAATCGACTGAATGGTCAGAGAGAGAAAGTTCGTTTAAGACCCTTGGTGCTATTATCAGAAAAGCCGCACCCACTTACAACCCTTGGTCATCAACCCCATGAATCCTCCTACCAAGCTGTCTGGATGTCTATATATTTATAGAACACGCGATAGGTACTTTGAACATTATTTTTTTTCCCATATTTTCAAGATCATTAGCTTCCTAATTAAACGAAAAAACAAACTTCCTATTAAAATGAAATTTCTTAATAAAATAAAAAACGAATTGTTCCATTTTTTTTGTCTGATTTTCAGGTTTTTTTTCAGTTTTTAATATTTGTGATATTATTTTTGGAAGATGAGCTCCTATCGCAGGTAAGAAAACTAATTTTCAATTGATTATTATAAAAATTGTTTGAAATATTTTTATTTATTTTTATGTTTTTTTTTCAACAGGCTTGTTGATGTTTCCTCAAAATAATGAGTTTTTTTTCTTTTATGAAATTGAGCTAGATTCTATCTCCATAAGGGCAATTGGAATGAGGATGTGCGTAGGATCCGCACGTAACAGAGAAACATAATTCATGATAAAAGGCGCATTCACTTTAATTTATAACAGCAATAGAACGAAAGTCAGTGATTTTTGAAGAGGATTATGGTACTTATTTCCGTTTTTCCCTAAAACGAATTTTTTTTACAGTTATTTCAAAATATCCTTTTTTTAATTTTCAAATTCATAACTTTTTTTTGAACGTCGTTAATATTTTATTTAAATTCTATTTATTGTTGAATAAATTTTATTAAAATTTCAAAAAAAAAGTGTCCAAACGAATAATTTATTTTACATCTTGCAGATAAAAACAAAATTGTTTAAAGGGACATTTCTCATTATCCTAAAGAATTATTGCCGGAAGAAAGGAAAGTGATCTTAAATCAAAATGTCATTAAATTATACATTAAGCATCTGTTTGAATGATTGCATCCTTGGAAGTAGGATATATTCTTGTCGACATGTAAACCAGTTTGACACTTGCTTTTTTTGACTGTATGGAATATTATCACTATATAGCCGTCTCAGTACTCATTTATATTCGTTGAGAGTATTCACCACCAGGACATAATGACGTTCACAGTGAGTGAATTTCAAATGAAAGTGTTGGGATAAAATAATCGCTCGCTGGATAATTGCAAGACAAAAGGGAGAGAGAAAAAAAATCAAAAATACATTACTGCAAATTGATGATGAAAAAGAAGATTTTAATTTGCCATATATAAGAAAATTTTCAGAAAAGAGATCAAAGAAAATATTCTTAGTATATATAAAAATAAGAAAATGTCAATAGGTGTTTTCTTTTTTTGTTTCTTCCCTTTTCATCGTTATTTTTATCAAATACCCGAAGGATAGAGAAACGTGAATTGCAAAACAATGGTCTCACGTGTGTACACGCAAGAGTTTTGCAAATAAAAATGTCTAATAACCGTGCTGCCCACATATTGCCAGTAGGAAGTGAAAAGAATATATATATATATATACGCGCAAGGGAGTGCGACGAAAGTGCCAAGAGAGAATAATACTTAAAACGCCTTATGTTTCCTGAAGAAATCAGCTCTAACTTCCTCTCATTTCGCGAGGCTCACAAGATTACCACATTCCATTAACAAAAAAGTAAGTTTGCATTTATTGCAAAATTATTAAATTTTAACCTAACCCTCTTGAAAATTTATTTAATAATTTTAAAATTATTCTTTTTTAATTTAAAATTAAATTACATAAATTAATTTCGAAGACTTATATATAAAATCTCAACTTTTTTGAACTTAAATCGAAATTTTTCTGCATTGGGAACACTATAGTTGCGCCATCTAGCGGAAATTTGTAAAAGTTTTATGACCTTGGTTTTCGAAAATAGTTTACGGCTAGTTTGACGAAAGTCGTTTGAAGATGATACACTTCTTTTGTATATTTATCTTTTAATCGTATTTTAATATTTTAAATTCTCTAATTATGGTTAATTATTGATCGAAATTAACTAAATGAATCGAAAAAGTGATAAAATAAGTGCCGTGTAAGAGATTCTAAATTCAGTAGGACGAACATAACCTCAAAATACTTCGCAACAAAGTAAAAGATAATTTAAATTAGTTTCTTACATTAAATTAGCACAAAAATAATGTTTTTCCAACCGGGTTCAACATGAAATAAGTGAGAAAGAAGCATTTTTTAAACCCCTCGTCGGAAAATTGCTCCTTTCTGTACTTGGTGCACAATGTACTATTGTATTTATTTTCTATTTACAGTTTGAAAACCGTGAGACTAAATATGAAATATGGAAAAAGTAATTTTAAAAAAAATCATATTACATGCAATTAAAAACAGAAAAAATGAAAATTTGTTTATGGCGGAGGATAAATTATATATACGCATGAAAAAAAGGCTTAATGTGAAGTTTACAGGAGTTTCTGTTGCATAGAGATCTTAATCTCATAAAGAAGGGAATAGCTTGTCTGTGGTCGGTACCATTGTTAATCGCTTTGAGATTAAAGTGGATCTCCAAGTGAACACGACTCGTGCACATTTCGAACCGGAGGACTACGACGACGACGACAACGACAAACAAATGCAAGGGGACAAATGGACTTGGCTCGTAGGACATATGCAGGCCCACGCGACAATGCTCTCTCTCTCGAGTATACCCGCAGCCTCCCACGGGCTTCTTTTCATTTTCTCTCATCTCTTCTGCCTGGAGAACACCATGCGGAGAACAAAGAATAAAGAAGAACGCGCGCGTCTACTGGTAAGTCTCTCTCTCTCTCTTTCTCACGTTAAGCCTCTTAAGGAACTCGAGTATTGCTTTCCAGCAAACAGTGGCGTGAATTTATGTATGAATCTTTCCTCCTAGCAAAATATCTCCCCCTTTTAAGTTCTAGGTTATGTTTTACCATTTTCCTAAAATATTTTTCCTTTCTTTTTTTTTAATAGTTATTTTTATTTTCTATATTGAATTCTATTTTTATTTATTTAAAATTGAATTTTTTTTCTAATTTTTATTAGTTAATACTATTTTAATTTGATAATAGTATAATTGAACGAGTTTTAAATATTTTGCACAATTCATTTCCGATTGTTGGAAAGAATTCCCAACGAAGTGTAACGAGTGCAAAGCACGAAGCTGAAGTACGCAACGTTTATGATAAACGATTTTAAAGAATTAATTTTTTGAAATGAAAAATTCTATAATTTTTCGCCTAAAAAATATTTCTTGTAGTTTTTATTAATTAACAAATTATAAAAAAATATTTTTTAGGCAAAACATTATACAATTTTTTATTTTACAAAATTATTTCTTTAAAAATCGTTTATCATAAACGTTGCGTACTTCAGCTTCGTTGCAAAGCCTCATTTCGTCACATTGGAGATGATTTTTTTATATCACAAAGAATTTTTTTTTTCTTTTGTCAGGTGCCTATTGCATTTTGCGCTATATGACAAAAGTTGTGATGATGGAAGAGTTATGGTGTTTTGACAAGAGAGCTACTGTTTCACAGCCGGTTCCGCGGGGATCATCGTGCGAAGGGAATCGTATTTCTTCAGGAAGAATATATCCATTCCAGCTGTCATATATGTCACGCTTTCTAGATCTAGAAAATCCAAATAGAAGAGGAGGTATATCAAAAATAATTACTAAAAGAATTATTTTATAACTTCCTGATTGTATTTTGTTTGAAAATAATTTTTAAAAATGAAATTTTCTATTTTATATGATAAGAGATATTGATTTTATTATAATTTTGATTTTATAGATTTTTAATTTGGTTCTTTTAGGAACACTTTTAAGATTGTTAATGGAATTTAGAATCACTGACGTTTGCTATTTTTTTTTAGATTGAATCTCTGGGGAAAAGAACAAAAAGTAATGGAGGACATTAAGTCGAGCAGATTCTTCTCTTTCGCAGTAAAGGTGAGTCATCTATTTAGTCCCTTGGTCCATACCTTTTCCTGCCTTTTTTTTCTTCTCTTTTAGAACCCTTTTTCTCCTTTCTTCATTTATACGGGGTTTTTTTTTTCTTTTGCGAAATCGTTAATATGAGTAAGATTATTCCGAACTCGTTCATTAATAAGGGATGCATATTCTCAGCCACAGAAAAGGTTTTTAAAAAAATTTCGTTTTCTTAAATTATTACTTTTATTAATATTTTATAAATTATTACTTTTATTAATATTTTATAAATTATTAAATTTTTATTTACAATATTCTTTAGAAACATTTTTAATCTTTTTAAATTGGATCTATTGAAGTTGAACAATTAAAAAAATAAAATCAAATTTCGCAATCAAGTGTCAGAATTTAAGAAAGTTATAATAAGTGTCGCGTGGATAATAATTTCGAATCATCGAATCAGAAGGAAGAACATGATCGTTTTGTTGCTATAATATTCGCTATTGTCATTTTATATATATATATATATATATATATACTTGATACTTTGATTAATCCAGATAACCCGGCGTTACCGGTGAATCGTGATAATGGGATCGTATTATTGTACTATCCTATTGTTAGTTTGTAGTGAGAGGCGTTTCTCGACAGTTGTTGCTCAACAACAATGATTCATGAATCGCGTTTTGCCCCACTGGGTGTCTCTTCGATTTATCTTCCTAATTTGTTTCAATCCCATATAGACGAATAATAAACGTTTATTTACCATTCTTCTATTATTCTTCTTATTAAATTTATTTGTTCTATTTTTATCAATTTATTTATATATTTTATTTCTTATAAATGGATATGAATGGAATTTTTCTGCAAAAAAAAAAAAAAAAAAAAAATTTTCTTTATATACATCGCAAAATAACTTGCATGCAAACATCCGGAACATAAAACGTATAGAGATCATTTACAAATGTTGGTTATATGCGTGACTCTGAAGAGAAATATACACACACACACATACTTTGAAAGTAGCCACGGCCTGTTACACGTTCATTGTGAACTGTAACACGTGCTCCCGGCGTTCCAAAGACATTAAAACCACTAAGGGGAGTGACTCGAGTATACATCATATATACTCAACTTCGGCTTCTTCCAGAACCCGACAATCGATTTTATAAATCCATCAAAGTAATTACGATTTATCGGGATAAAAAAAAAAAATTTATTCGAGGGTCGTTGCTCTCATTATAAAAACCGCTTTTTAATTCTCTGTTTTTTATTTTTCATACCTGTCAAATTTTTATTTTATATCTTCGAAATTAAATTTCCAAAATTAATTTTTCCATTCTCCTCCCTTTTTTCATTTTATTAATTTAATTATTTTAATTTTTTTTTTTAATTTTTGTGTTACAAATTACTCATCGAGCAATTCTAAACGAAAAAAAACACTTATAAATCAATTGAATAAATAATCACTTTATATTCCTACAATCAAATGCGAAAAACAAAAGTATTAAATGAGAAAATTATTCAATTATTATAGTGTGATTCCATTAAAGATTAACCTTGATTGAATAATTTCATAAGTCTTGCATTTGAAGAGGGAAAAAAGAAGTGTGCTTTGAAGTATATAGGAACGTGATTCTTTTTTTTTTTGGTATCAAAGCACTTGCCTCGTCTGAATTTTTTTTTTTTTTTTAAGTCTTCGCCGTCACCCACAAAATGAGCGAACCATATGAATGGAGAAAGAAAGAGAGAGAGAGAGAGAGGAAAAAAGTTACAAGTTGAGGGTCTTTTTTGAGGGTACTCACGTGTTGGTCACGTGATAAAGGTACGCCTATTGTCTCATGTATATTAGCATTTGTGTGTACGTTCAAGAAATGTAAATGTGAATGTACCCGACCTGCGTGGTAGATATACCATTGATACTATATGGAATGAAAGAGGGTTGGCTGACCAATAGGGTCTTTTGAAATGCAATTTTTTTTTTTTTTTTTTTGGTCTTCGAATCGTTTCTTTTATTCCTTCTACTATTCAAGAGAGAAAATACACACAAGAGGAAATATTTTCTAGTCTTTACAATAATTTTCTTTACACTTTGTCCCTGGGTATTGTTCAATATTTTATTAGTCACAAAACAGTTAAAATGAGACAAAATATACTCTAAATCTTTCATTTCATAAATATAATTTTATTATCATCATACTAATTTGAAAAATAATTTTTAACAGATTGTATTTAATGGAGCAAATGAGAGGACAAGGGTGAGAATTCAAAGGAAGGAAGGATTCTGCCACGAGACTGGAAGAGATCTCGTTGATCACAACGGCGACGATGCTAATCATGAAAGACAAGCATTCACTCGAGATTTTTTTGTTCTTCCACCTGATAAAATGGTGAGCTTTCTTTTTGGATTTTTTTTATACTGAGCGATACTCCGCGATCCTCGACCTTATATCGTTAGAAAACGCAGAAAGAGAGAGAGAGAGAGCGGATGTGGGAAAGAAACGTCTTTATTAGCTCTATAAAAAGACTGGCTTGAATCAAATAGAAATATATATATATATTGAAGAAAAGGTGACGCGGCAAAATAAGAGACTTCTAAGCTATTTCACGCATACTTAAGATTCGAGGCGATAATAAATATATATATATGTATATGAGAGTAGAAGAATTATTATCTCGTTATATCAACCGTTAGTGAAAGAAGCGCATAGGATTGCATTTTTTGGGGCGAAAAGAGACACGCTTTGTTATCGTATATACTTCTTAGCAGCAAAATTCTGAGTTTAAATCGCCTACGCAATTGGCTATTGTATTTTCAAGTAGTCGATGCCGAGCAAGAAGAGACTGTAAAGGAGAAGAGTTTTTTTTTCCCTCCACAGTTTTTTTTTTCTATTTCTTTAGTCGAATTTTTTATTCTCAGTCTTTAGTTAAAATTTATTATTTAATTTTATAAATTTTCTATTTTTTTTGCTAAACAAAAATTTCTTTTTTTTTTTTATTTATTTTTATTAACGCAATTAAATTATTACAATTTTTTTCAAATGAAAAAATTTCTTACATTGAATAATTAGTTTAATGTCTTATTCATTATGCTCTACATATAACGGATTAACTATATTGTTCCATTCCAGGAGGTCTTGAGAAATACCTCATTAGTCTATATTGCGCACTGAATTTGCAGTTAAAATATTAATTGAAACTCATTTTGATGTTCCTTATTAGTTTATTTGAAATTCAACATTTCATTTCATTTCTTTTGAATACTCTCTATATATGCATTTTATTCATTATTTATAAGCCTCGCAATTTTAACGCCCATGTTGTGATGAATTAATAATAGATTTCACTATAATATTGTAAATTAAAAATATTTAACATACAAATTATCATAATTAGTCACTAAAATTGTTAAATTTTAAAATAAATTATTTTTTCATTTTGTTTATTTATAATTTTTTTTTCTAATTATTTATTGTTAAATTGTTAAATTTTATTACAATTTAAATTAAATTTAGTATTAAAATTCAATATTAAATTTAATTTATCAAAAAAAAATTATCGTAATTAATTTAATTTTACAACATGGGCAAATTTATTTTCTTTAGAATATCCCCTTTAAATATCATTTTCCGTGAAATGAATAATATCCTTAATTATTAAATTATAATTTACAATGTAGGAAACGATGTATAATTAATTTTATATTTTCTCGTTATGTCATTTCTATTTTCAAATCATGATCCTCCTGTTTTTTATTTTTTATTAGCGCTGAAACTTAAATTCTAACCTCACTTTTTTTAATTTATTAATTTAACAAATTATTGATATTTTAATTTTTAATATTTTCCTAAAAAAAAATAATTCAAATAATCCGTTGGTTCAATTTTTTTTATAACGTTCCTAATTTTGCATAGTTTTTGAAATGATCCTGTTCGTGTTCCCCTTGTTTCGATGAACGGCGCGGAACCCGCGAGACCAGCCGGTTGCGTGTGTTGTATTGTCAGTTATTTCCCGACAGTGCTGCAGTCAACTGTGAGTAGTGTTTTCATCGTTCTTTTATTGTTTTATATTTAATTTTCATCGAAAAAAAAAGTCAGTGTTTAATTGGTAAATAATGGATGTTCAACAATTTTTATTCCCTGATTAAATTGTCGTTGAAAAAAGTCGATGTCAATTGAGGTTAATTTTTCAGAAAAAGCGCGCGCGACGTATAGTATGAATTTTCCCGAATTTTCCAATCAAATTTAATTCAATCGGATTTACAATTGTGAATTTCTTTTTTTTAATAAGTGCAAAAAGAAAATAATCGCGAGTGATTGAATAAAATATCGAAATATCGAAAAATTGAAAATTTGTTGCAAGTCCGCCATCTTGAATCCGGAATTGTTAACGGTTATTAACAATGAAATTTTCTCGAGTGTTAGTTTGAACATTGTCGTGAATAGTCGTGTTTAGTGTGTTCTCGAGTCATCGTCATTGTTTATTAATGAAATTATGTGTGTATTAACATCGAAGGATGTTTTTTTTTGTCGGTTTCTCGGATTGTAAATCAAGAAAATTGCAAGTTATAATACGAAAGGAGTGACTCGCGTTTACATTGTTGAATATATATATATACATGCTCCTCGTGATGCCTTGCAATTATTATTACGCAAGTTTGAGGGCAGTTTATTTTTCTCCTGTTATGTGCGGAAGCAGTTCATAATTATTCTTAGAAAAGTGCAAAAATATTTGAAAGGTAAACAAACTTGTATCAAGGACGTTTGTTTTTATCTCTCGTTTAATACGAATTTAAAAATGAAGAATAATTTTATTGCACTTTTATATTTTAATTAAAATTAATTCGTAATAAATGATAATTTCGGGATTAATTTGCTTTATAGGTTATGTAAAATTAAAATTCTCAAGTTCAGTGTCGCAATAAAGATTTCCTTTTTGATTTCCAGTGATCGTGAATTGGATCCATGCTTCATTGATTGTGGTTTGTTTATGTAACAAAATTGAATGTGTGAAAACTAAAGAACAAATTGCAAGGTTATTTGCAATATACGTAATCGCAATTTAGAGGACGATGAGGAGATAAATTTTTTTGAGATAGTGACAATTTCGACATTGGAAAAATCTAATCTGACCTTGAATGAGGAAATAGTGAAATTTTTTTTAATAATTTAAAGGAAATAAATAAAATTGAATAATTGAAAGTGAGAAATCAAAGGAAGAATAATGAGTGGATTCATTGAAAATCAAGTTTAAAGTCAAAGGAAGAATTATGGCACAAGAGGAAATGAAATACGATAGTCGTCAGTGGTCAAGACTGATCTATGTCAGATGTTGTGAATCGTGATGTCAGCTTGAAAGAGAGGCACTTTGACAAGAGGAGTATTCCAAGGTGACGATCCGACGGATATCATCGGGGATTATCATCACCATCAACATGGCTTACGTGCTTTGGCGAGTTTTTATGAGGAAGTACTCCAAAGTTCGTATGGGAATAAGAAACTTGCCGGTGAGTTTTTTTTTCTTTTTTTAAAAATTTTATTATTTTGCGATCAGCAATTTTTTTTCACTCTGAGAGAAATTTGATCCATCTCGCTTTCCTGGTTCTTTTTTTTTTCTATATCGAAGGGAAGTTTTGTCTCTCGTCTTATAAAAAGGGATTGAACTTGAGAGCTATTGTTCCCTTTTTATTCTCGGGGAGGTTTTTTTTTGTTATCGTAATTTAATTTTGACTTTTCAATTTTTAGTTGAACAAAAAATTGAATTTTGCAAAATAAAAATTTAAAAATAATTTTCAAGATTTGTGAAATTAAAAAAAAAAATTGTGAAATAAAAAATGTTAAATAAATTGAAGCCACGGGGGGTAAAAAATATCGGGCATACGAAATTCAAGTTCATGCATATAATTATGTATATATGAATCGTGTGTAAATTTAAAGAGTTGAAAGCTTACAACTGATTTTAAAATCTTATCTTTGAAAGTGCGAAAAGGGGGAGCGATTTGCAACGTCATAGCTCGTCATAAATCATTTATTCAATCTTTAAATTGATGGAGAAGTAGTTATTTTCTAATACACTTTTAATTAATAAAAGTAAAACTATTTTAATTTTTATAAAATATTTAAAAATTTAATTTTTTAAATTTATAACTTATTTTGATATTTTTCTGTCAAAATACACTATGCGTGAAGAAGAAATTTAAGTTCCTTTTTGCGGTTTAGTCTTGGAAGGCAAATAATTTTTCTAAACCACATGTGTGGTCCAGAGAGCAAGGTATTTTTTAGTTTGAAGGCCAATACTTTTCTTACCGAGTTATAGGAGTGCAATTATTAGACTGCAAAGCCAATGTAAACGCGGTAATTGGATAATTGCTCTGCAGCAGAAAAACTATTCGCCCCTTACTCTCTCTCTCTCTCTTGTAGTTTCATTTTCTTCGTTGAGGTGTCTTGAAAATTGATCATTAGAATCTAATATCTCAGTTTAGTTAACATTTATTTTCCGTAAGTAAATTTTAAAAGTCATCATATTTTTTTCCCTAAATAATGATTCATTTTTATTTGAAAAAAAAAATGTAGACTATTGCTCCACTTTAATATGGAAAAAAATATCTGTTTTATCTTTTTTCTCTCTGTAAATAGAAGATGTTTATTTAACTTAGGAAAACTAATCTTAACTTTAGTAAACAAAATTATATTTTTAAAAAAATAATTTATTATCATTAATGTAAATTGATTTTTACACAAAAGAGACATAGAGGTATAAAATAATAATGGGAATTAATTATAAAATAAGATAATTTAATTTTTATACATTTCTTTTCAACACAGGTGAGAGCTTAATTAAAATAATTGTCGCCGCGTGAATCTTTTTCTCTTGTGTGATGTGTTTTAAATTAAATTATATATATATAAAAAAAATATATATGTGATTAAATTAAATTTCTTCTCGGCTTTCATTTGATTATAATTTTACACGCGGTGTCGTATCAAGTGAAAATATTATAACTATATATATATAAATTGAAACTGAAAGAGAATACCATACGGAGAAAATAAACAATTGTGTATTTGAACCCAGGATTGGAAACAAATTTTCTGTGGTCTTAATAAATTTAATGCTATACCTACTCAGTGAGGGTGTAATTTAGCGGTCGGGTTATGTTAGGTGGTCAGACTATGGACGATCGGTTGGTCCCCGTGACCGTGAACCTGGTCATAGGCTGTGTGCCTCCCTCCCCCCCCCCTCCATCCCCCATAAATCTACCTCTTGGCCACATTCGCGTCTCGTTCCGGGCTTCGGAACTGTGTGCACACACGATTTCTTGTGTTATCGTATTGTGCGCATAGAAGCCCTATACCTGGAGCACATATATATATATAGAGTCTACATACTGTTAGTGATAAATATTTTCTCGACTTCCATTACGCGCACGGTGAGAGAGAAAGAGAGACTTACTTCCTGCATACTTTACCCCGAAAGGATGGCGTCATCCTAGTGCAACGTCCTATCAATGAACGGTCTCTCTCTCTCTCTCTCTCTCTCTCTCTCTCTCTCTCTCTCTCACGAGAGAGGATAAATATAGAAACCCAATCAATAATAGTAATAACCCTTTTTTATGTATATCAAAAACTTGTAATCTTCTCTCTTCTGTAAACAAGTCTCTCTCTCTCTCTTTCGATATATAGGAGGGAGGGTCGTTAAAATGTAATCTTAGACTTTAATTAGCAGATAGGCCAGACGATGCTAATTCCTCGAATTAGTTTTGCAAAATTCTTAGACTCTGCTTAATTGTTCTCTGTTCCTCTCGTTTTAGATTGAGATTAGTATATCTTATTCGAATTGAATTAGTGAAATATAATTCCACTTTTGTTTCATTCTATATTCTTAATTGATTTTATTTATTTATAATTAATTTAGCAATAAATAATTTTTTACTCTAAAACAATAGAGGAGCAAATTTTCAAAACTTGATAAATCCATTTTTCAAAAACTTATTGACATAACCAAGATGATTTACAATTTGTATGTTTTATATTAGAAAAAATTACCAAAACCTGTAAATCACTCAATTATGCCAAAGTTCAATTAGAAACATAACGTCTTGAATATAAAAACATTGTTATAGAAATAAATTATTATAAATTTTTTATTTTAAAATTAACTCTAGTGTTTATGTGTGGAAAGTCATTTGTTTGAATTTCTCGAAATAAGAAAATATAGATTTATCAGGTTTTGAAAACTTGCTTCTCAATAATAATAATCAATTATTTTCAAATACAATAGAAATAATAATTATTTTTATTATTATTAACAATAATAGTAATAATAATAATAGTAATAATAATAATAATAATAATTACTATTATTAATGAAGTGGTATTTAAGATCATTAAAAATTGAAATTAGATAAAAATAACCTCAAAATGATTATTAAATTATTATTTTTATTAATTTTATTATTAATTATTTATTCGTTTGCGGATTAAAACAAAAATTAAATCATTTTAAAAATTTATTTTTATTAAACAGGGTGTCTAACGGTCAGGGAAATGTCAGGGAATTTCAGAAAAATTTTATTCAAAGTCAGGAAAATTTCTGTAAATTTCTACAAAAATTAAAATTTTTTTTGTGAATTTAAAAATTTTTAAATCTAAAAAAACTTGAATATGGTTTTTATTACCATTTGTTACTACCATTAGAAATTAATTTATTGTTAAATATGTCAGTAACAATATATTTTTGTCCAAAAAAAGCAGAAATAAGGTTATTAAAAAGTCAGGGAAAAATCAAAAAAATGTCAGGGAGGAATCAGAGTAAAGTCAGGGAATTTTTTTCTCAATCTTTGTTATAGACACCCTGTTAAATAATAGTTGTGTTTTTTATTTATAAGATCTAAAGCAATTTTTTTTTTAATCTAAAACAATAATAATAATATTTACTTATTTTAAAATACAATAAAAATAATTATAATTTTTATTATTATTAACAATAATAATAATTATTATTTTTATTAATTTGATTATTTATTCGCTTGCTGATTGAAACAAAAATTAAATAATTTTTAAATTTTATTTTCATTAAATAATTATTAATTGAATCTTTGTTTTTTATTTATTATAAACAATAGTAGTAATTATTATTATTATTATTATTATTATTATTATTATTATTATTAATAAAGTTAAAGTTTTTGTGATATTTAGAATTATTAAAAATTGAAACTGGATAAAAAACGTTCAAATTATTATAAATTATTATTTTTATTAATTTTATTATATTATTTATTAATTTATTTATACCAAAATAATTTAATTTACATTTAATTTGATTGAAATAGAATTTTTTTTTGCTTTATGATTTTTAATTTGAAATGAAATATTTGCGAATTGAATTGCGAGATAAAAATCGGTATTTTAAAATAATAGCAGGGAGAGTGCGTTGCGGAATATAAAAAAAAATAAAGTAAATACATTGACAGTACATAAAATGCACGTGCGATACATACATATATACCTTATTTCTCTAATGATAAAACAAAGATTCCTTTGTTTATGTGTTCACTCTTGGTACACTATTTGAATACAATTATTCTAATAAATCTATCATTAGTTCCATCACGTTCCTCGCGACATGTAGAAGAACAATTGACGCAATTTTGATCCATTGAATTTACTATATCGCTAATTAATAAGAATCTGCAAAAATTATAATTTTTTTTTTATAATTGTATAAAAAGTGTAAATAATCGTCAGGCAAAAATCAATATTATTAATTTATTTCATTAATTTTTTTTCACATTTTTTTTTTTTCTAAAAGTAAAATAAATCAGATTACGCTTCGTTAAATTCGTGAAAAACATTATTGTAATTATTATTTTGCGCCTGCAGTGATATCGTGTTGAATTTTATAGGGAAGCAATATTGCGCGAGTGAAAGTATAGAAATTCAAAAACCATGAAAATTACTCTTGGATCGTTGAATTTGTTTAATTGCCGCATAGAAGTAATTTGAAAATTTAAATATCATTAGAATACAAAAGTAATTAAATTTTTTTTTTTTGTTACTTATAAAGTTTTTAAAGTCGGTTAGGTACAATAGTTTATGTTTGGAATCAGATATGATGATTAGATTAAGAGTCATAAGGCAGGAAATAGGGGTGTCACTTTCAGAGAATTTAATATAACCTTGAGACGCGCTGAAACTAAATGACTCGTTGAATTTTAATTGTTTTGTGCTTCCGCCACTTTTCTGTTATGAGAAGAGTTCATCTTTAAACCTTTTTTCCCATTTTCAAAAAAAAAAAAAAATAATTATTTTAAATATAATTTTTTTTTTTTAAGTATCATTTAACACGTGCTTCATCCTTTGACTTCTTTTTCGATAAATATCATTTTCATATATATATATATATATACATGTATGAAATTGAGAGCTTTCTCCACCTCGATGGTATTTTATTTCATTTTTTTCTTTATGGTGTATCCTTTGTCTACTTGATAAAACAGTAATT